CCAGTGGAAGGGCCGAAAGAAGGAAGGTGAGAGGAAGGAAGAAGCGGCAAAGCTGAGTTGGAGGCAGAGGAACTAGGAAGGACGAAGAAAGGTGAGTGAGAGTGTGAGTCTGTGAGATAGCGGAGTCAGGCGGCGGAAGAGTCCTGAGGTAGTGAGGTGAGTTAATAGATTAGGGTTTTTGTTAAAAACTATTATATTATATGTATTGTTAAAAACTATTATATTATATATACATATTATTATTTGAATTTGATTTCGAATTTTCGATTTCAAATTCCCATTTCGAATTACCCAATTCGAAATCGGTAATTCCGATTTCAAAAATTATATTTTCGAATTCGATCCGATTTCGACCAATTCGAAATTGGAATTACCGAGTTAACTTCCGAATTACCGAAATTTTGATTTCGAAATTCCGAATTAAATTCGAAATCGAAATTTTTCGACTTTGCGCACCCCTAGTTTGCGTGGTACCGTAAGTGCCTAGAACTAACGCGTTCAGATACAGCTGAATTGCATCCAACGAATTAAACTACACCTTCCACATCAGAAACTTTGGAATTTACTTTGGGATAATTTCAGAAACCTACCTTGTGGTTTCTAACTACTTCACTAGCCTCCCTCCAAGTTTTGAAAATTACACTAACCTCCCTTTTGGTTTCTAACTACTACATAAGCCTCCCTCTAAGTTTCAAAAATTACACTAATCTCCTTTGAGATTTATTAGCTTGTAACATTTAAGCCCAATCAATAATTAAAAAGTGATATTATGAGAGAAAAAATAATATGATTTCATCATTGCCCGTCATTTACTAATTTATTTAATTAATTTAATACTAACCCACACATTAAAGAAAAATACTAAAATTTGTTATTTATCATTAGGGATCAAATCACATATAATATTAAAAAAATAGTATATCATTTTATATTTTTCCACTTAATGGAAGATCCGACTTAATCTTTTCACTTACATTCTCATTATCAAACATATTCAATAACACCAACAGGGGTTGGTCCGAGTGGTAAGCGGTTCGGATTCGCTTAAGCAGGTCTCGTGTTCGAGTCCTAGTGTACGCAGACACCCCTGTTGGGAGATTTACCCACCATAGCCAGGTGCGCGACGCGGGTTGAGTCCGGATTAGTCGGGGCAAAGTTTCGGATACCGGGCGGGCAACCAAAAACAAAACATATTCAATAACTAATAATCAAAAATTTGCAATGAGGCCGAATTTTAACCACATAAATATTCTTGTCAACATGTTATGGTTAGTTGCCTAAATTATTATTGTCTTAAAACTAGCTCTTTGTAATATATTGGTTATAGATTTTTTGATTATTTATTATTGACCACGTTTAACAATGAATTTGTAACTAAAAAGAGCACTTTGGATCTTACATTAAGTGAAGTATATATAATGATATACTATTTTTGATATTATAATATTATATGTGATTGCCTAAATTATTATTGTCTTAAAACTAGCTCTTTGTAATATATTGGTTATAGATTTTTTGATTATTTATTATTGACCACGCTTAACAATGAATTTGTAACTAAAAAGAGCACTTTGGATCTTACATTAAGTGAAGTATATATAATGATATACTATTTTTGATATTATATGTGATTTCATCCCTCATGATAAACAACAAATTCTAATATTTTCTTTTATGTTTGGATTGGTATTAAATTAATTAAACAATTTAATAAATAAGAGACGATGGTGGAATCATATTATTTTCTCTATCCTAATATCACCTTTTAATTTTTGGCTAAACCTAGATGTTACAAGATAATAAACTTCAATGAAGGTTAGTATAATTTTCAAAACTTGGAGGGAGGCTAGTGAAATCGTTACAATTCTCAGGGGAGGTTTCTAAAATTATCCCATTTACTTTTAGCACCACCATATTTCACGGATTATTTTAAAAAAAAAAAAAATGCAAGATTTGTTTCGTTGCAAAGTAGGGTATGAGATTGGAACCGAGTTTTTTGATCAAGTTTTTTAACTACTAGTTTTTTAATAACTTTAACTACAGGAATCCAAAAAAACTTAACAAATTTTTTAACCTACACACTTCAAAATATCTAATACACAAAAAACTTCCTTTTTTCTTCTTCTTTCTCCCCCACCCCGATCCACCACACCTTCATCGCCGGCCACCACCTCCACCGCCGCTTCCGGCGCATGCCTACGCCGGCGTTCCCTTTTTTTTTTTTTTTTCCTTCCTTTCTCTCTCTCCCTCTCCCTCTCTCCTTCCCTTCTTCTCTCCCTCCCCTCCCTGGCCACCCTCCCCCTTCCCCTAACTGCGATCTGGTCGCGCAACCAGATTGGGCAAAAGGGGGAGAGGGAGATGGAGAAGAGGGAGAGAGAAAAGCAAAAAAAAAAAAATTGAAAAAACTTCCGCTGCTGGTTTCTGGCTTCGGGAGGGGGAGGGGAAGGGTGAAGGGGAGTAGAGGGGGAGAGGGGAGCAGAGAAAGGGGAGAGGGGAAAAGAAAAAGAAAAAAAAAATTTGAGCGTGCAGGCTGCTTGTTCTTCAACGAGGCAGAGGTGGCGGGGGAGGGAAGAGGGAGGGGGAAGGAAGAAGAAGAAGATGATGAAGAGAGGAAAGAAAAGAAAAAGGAAAGAAAGAAAGAGAAAAAGAAAGAAAAAAAAAATTGGTAGGACCATGGCTGCTAGGGAGGCAGAGGTAACGGGGAAGGAGGAGGGGGAAGGAAGAAGAAGAAGAAGAGAGGAAAGAAAAGAAAAAGGAAAGAAAAAGAAAAAAAAAAAAAGAGAAAAAGAAAGAAAAGGAAAGGAAAAAAAAAGTTTTTCATCTTAAAAAATTTTTCCGAAAACTTTAACAGTGCACTACAGTAAAGTTTCAGACAAACTTCCAAAAAACTCAGGTTCCAAACGGGCCCAAGTTCCTTTTTTCGTCCTTTCTTATCATAAAGCTTTGAAATTCAGGTCCATAAACAGAAGCTATAAACTAATCCATGAGAAATCACAGACTGCATAATATAAATATCTCGAAGGAGAATCTCAGGCACAACATAAGCCATTCCGTAAACCCAAATACAACTAATAAGCCACTAAACATCATTCACTCACACAATTATGAAATCCAATCCACCAAAGCTTGTTCCTTTGCTTGCATGCCCTTCAAGACGTTACAACTCTGCTCAGACGGGACTAGTTTTTGCTTTGTCTTGTTCTTGATCATAACCTGAGCGCAGGAATTTTAAAGCTGAGTACAAATTTCTAACCAATTTTACAAGGTTTAAATCTTTATAAAAGAATTCAGAACTTTATTAGTAAAAAAACTGTTCAAACTTGTAGAACAGTCGTGAAAAAAAAAATCATGAAAATGTCATTTGACATAAGAACAAATATTTGAGGAATTTAAGTGTCGTTATTTAGAGTAAACTAAATAATGAATTCCATATCTCTGATAAGCATGAAGAACAGATTTCAAAGCAGTCAAAGATGAAAAAGTATGGCCTTTTGAAGGGGGAATTTCTGGCTTAGAGCTCCAACAATCATAAAACCCTATTAAATTTTGGCTTAATAAGCAAGGTTCTCAATCAGATGACCTAAGAGCTGGAAAGAAATTGGATTTTTTTTTTCTTGTTTTGTAATTGTAAAATTATTGATAAAGAAAGAAAAGGTTCCCATCCTTTTCCAGTGGAAGAAAATCTTATTCGATACTCAGAAACAAGCAAATAAACCAGAACAAAACATTACTTTGAACAATTAAATTCCAAATAGAAAAACCATATATGAGGAGAAGCAAAAAAGTTAAAGAATACGACAGTAAAACATTATTTGCACAACTATCGCACTAGCCATGAAAAATTACACAAAGAGACTTGTAAATTTCATTCTTAGCATGATTGTATGCAGCAAAGCTATGAGGTCCACAAATCTCAGAATGCTTACAGGTGCAAGGCTCAGAAGGCTAGTTACACCAGAAAAACTTGCTAAATTGAGCTAATTGATTATTAACATCATCTACTGGTTTGTCATCTTACTTTAGTGGAAATTTTATATGACGTGAGTTTTCTGGTATTCAATTTCATTATTCATATTTCCTCTTCTGAGTTAGCTTATCTTCCTGTACTGCCTAGTCTATATTGCAAAATCCGTGGTTAGTTTAGATTGCTTTCAGTTGATGCCTAACAGTGTGATGACTAGGCCAAATGGTTTCGCAATTAGAGTTTTGATTATCAGTTAAATACAGATTTCCAATGCATCTAAGTCTGAATTTCCATAAGCTAACCATAGAAAACTGAATTTTGGCACTGACATGTAGTGTTGTCTTAGGCATAATGAACAGCATTACATGGATATATGGAGAAAATTCCTTTGAAGATACTAAGTGAGGTAGGTACTTCGTATGGTCAGCTGAATCGGCAGACAAATGAAAGAGAAAGGTCCATTTTAATGAGTCCCAAGCCTTCCATGCCTCCTGATTTCACAACAGACTAATGGATATGCACGACAGTTGTTTTATGCCTAATAAGCAGAATTAGAAAGAGGGATTGCTCGTTTGCGTGTTGCCATTCCTGGCAAAAGCTCAAAGCAATTGCAGAATCTAGAAGGTACCCTCCAGGGTTGAAACCTGTTCCAAAAGTGAAAAAATATGAAGCCTGCAGGATAAGAATGTGGATATATAGTTGAACAAGCAACTTTACGCGTTGCATACGATGGCTGAGGCAGAAACTAAACCATTTGCAGCAGCTGAAGCTGCGAAGGATTCAGAAAAGGTCTCAAGGATGTCTTAACAGATTTGTTGCTTCAGTTGGCATACTGTGATAGAAGCAAGACAGGAACATACAGGTGTTCCTTTGATGTTTAACTCTGCTGCTTATTTTCATCTTAGCACAGTAGCTTGTCATATGAAGCTACCAGTTTCTCCAGCATTCACTCTCAAAGAAGTTACAAGTGAGATGTTCTTCAACTCCATGGCAAAATGTCTTGACCAGAAAGCTTTCAATTTCTCACCAATAGACATAAGCAAATCTTCTGACATTATCTCTTCCGCATATTAATAAAGATAAGCATTATTTATTCCACATTTAATAAAGATTCTTATCATTTACTTCCAAACCAAATAAGGTACAATATCTGTATACTATCAACACATTATCAGACATTTTCAATCATTTGGCTTAACAGGTGCTGTTGTCCATCTTGATTAGAACATATCAACCAAAATACTCCCTCTCTCTTCATGACACGGGCAAATTACTCTTCAGACTTTCATGAACTATTAAACCATGCTTCCCCTGTGAAATCCACTAGTCCAACTTTTCTCTTAGAATTCTTGATTAGCCTGAAATGCAAAAACAATTTGTTCTAAGAACTCACCCCACTACTACCTAATACAGCAAAGTTGAGAATTTAGTTCTAGCAAGATTCAGGCTTTCAGACTTGCATGAACTATTAAACCATACTTCCCCAAATCCACAGGGCCAACCATTATCTTATACTTGATTAGCCCAAAATGCGAAAAAAATTAGTTCTAAGAACTCACCCCACTACTACTTAATATAGCAAAATTCAGAATTTAGCTCTAGCAAGATTCAGGCATAACCTACTTACGACATCCAAAAAACTTCACCTCAATATGGGGTTAGTATATTTCGGCAGAGCAAAAATCATTCAGAGACGGATTCCACTCCTCTCTTCCCCTCCACCCCCCCCTCCCCCGGCCCTCCCCCCAAAAAAAAGGACATGAAGTACGAGTTTTGTCTTGGTCAATTGAATTAACTGGTTAAAAATCGTTTGTTTGCCACTGGCATTAATGTGGTGGAAGAATTTGACTTATTTAAACTGAGTATTGAATTATAAGAACTGGTTACCAGTTGACATAATTTGTACAAACCTGCATATACATTTGGATATAGATATTGGCACTCTATTTTTCTAACTCTCACTCCATACACTTTTTAACTTTGACAAATGATCGTGAAGTAATTGAAGTGCCAAAGGTGGAGTGACAATATTACAGATTCCAATCATGCAGCTTATAGATTAAAGAAAATTCGATATAATCATTACAGATAATTATAGATATCTCAATGAAGTCAAGAGTAATGGCACTGCAGTATTTTTGTATTTGATATCCTTATTGGGTGAACTTTGATGTATATGCTGACTTGGATAATCTTTTTGCTGGTCAACAAAGATTTTTCGTAATCAGTATGTTTTACTTTCAACATAGTTCATTGACTCATTCAAATTGCTTATGGACAAGATTGTGAACCAAAACCTTGCACTTCTCGGGAAAAGCCCATGCAACATTTTACTTTACACTTAAAATACTTGATAGAACCAAAAATGACTAAGGTATCACCTGCTTAAGTTTGTTTCTTGGAGAAAATCACCATGAGAAAGTTGACTGCAACATTCACAACACTATAAAATATAGAAATTGAACCATTCAAATTATTAGTTGAAAACTTATTACACATAAACGGATACCTCTATTACCAGCAAGACCCTTAGCAATAATGGAACTGAGCCACCTCAAGCATCTTTGAGTATTTTATAACGCACAATCTAAGCCTTGAGAAAACGGTATCACAGAAAGTTCTTTGGACCCCTGTCAGATCCTGCATCAAGATTATTTCTTTGAGCCCTTTCATCAAACACCTTCAACTCAAATTCCTTTCACTCCACCATATTCACCCTCGTACAGCCCATACTGTGTTCTGTGGGTTAATTTTAGTAAATAAACAAATAGGGGAAGAGGGAGAGGAAGAGGGAGACACAGAGAGAGATGAGTGTTTGGTTTTGGAGAACTTTCAAACTAACATAGCTTTCTTTGTTTGTTTTGTGTTGTTTTGTATTTTGTCCTTGATTTACTATTTAAGTTAATGATCTCCATCTTCAGATTATCATTTTCCATTTTTAACCCTAGCCCGTAAAATCATTGTGAAGTTGTCCAGCATTTGGCATTAAACAGAGAGAATGTTATCCACAGCTCTAACAAATCTCACATACTTCAAATGGTTGGGATTCATTTTGAAATTTAATGTTGTCTAGTGAGGGGTATGTTCCCCTTTTGACACTATCAAAGTCCCAGTATTATGGAACAATTTGGACTTAAAAAAATTTATACAGAGCCACTTGGAGTTCACTCATCTTGTGCCTTTCACTTCAAAGAGCTAATTATTTGCCTGATTTGTGTTTGGACTTCAGCTTACTAGTATGGAACTTTCATTCAGGGACCATAACTAGGGTAATCCTACAGGTGACTAAACATGTTATTACATCACATAATCATTATCTGATGAAAAGAGTTTGTTTTGCATAAATTTCCAGTTCCTTCAAAGCCTCAGAAGGCCTTGTAATGGCCAGCCATGAGCTTCTGTTGAAAACAACATTTGGCGCAATTCCTATCAGACTACCTGTTCCAGTTTACCATGTTTGCTTGTTTATTGTCTTATTTCTTCACCACAGATGTGCATTCATTTACACTTATAAACAAGTGCTATTCTTTCCAAACTTTCTTAACTAAAACCATCGCCGCCTAAGGAACAGACAAGACACAGAGAGAGAGAGTGTGTGTGTGTGTGTGAGAGGAGTAATAATAATAATAATAATAACCTATCTTTTCTCCATAAGCAGCATCTATACTGTAGAAGTTGATTTCTTTGTTGAATATTAACAAATATCATCAATATCATAATTTTTGTTTAACTTAAGCATAAATGTGAATACATAATATCTTAAGGTTACCTCACAAAAACTTTTGGTAAACTTGTCACCTTCTATAAGGCTTGAGGTGCAAAGTTTCAAATTCTGAACCAAATGTTATTGATTCTTCCTCGAGTTTCTTTTTCAACCTTCTCCAAGTTCTCAACATATCAGATTGAATTAAGCCTTTATACAGCGTCTGAAATGTGATCTTCTGTGGAAGATATCCTTTCTCTATCATCTCCATGAAAAGCTCACAAGCAACCCTCCAATTCCTTCTCGCACACAATCCATGAATTAACAATGTATATGTGTCCAAGTCTGGTCCAATCCTGCTAGCCTTCATATCCTCCCAAATCTCCATTGCAAGTCCCATCTTATTTACCTTCGTGAACATCCCCAACAGTATGTTATAAGTATGTATGCTTGGTGAACAGAAAGAACCATCTTCCTTCATTTTTCTGTACAACCTCATGGCTCCTTCTGTATCTTTCCTCCCTCTATACTCCTTAAAAAAGCAATTGTAAGTTACAGTTGCAGGATTAACCCCATTTGACACCATCTCATCCAACAACACCTCAGCATCCTCTATTCTTCCACAAGAACAAAGACATTTAACAACTGAGGTATATGTTGCCACATTAGGGCAAATCCCTCTGTCCTTCATCATCTTCAACTTCTCAAGCGATAATGCAGGTTTATGTGCTCTACTATAAACATGAAGCAAAATGGAATAACTCGTAACATCAGGCTCTACACCTCTATCACGCATTTCCACAAACACCTTCTCCGCATTCCTTATCACCTTCTCAAACCGTTCATCCGGGTGCAAACTCGCCTTCCTACAGATCCCATTTAACATCACATTATAAGTTACCACATTTGGCTCAATTCCCTTCTGCACCATCTCCTTAAAAAACTTCTCAGCCATTTCGATTTTCTTCACCTTAAACCACCCATATATCAAAATTGTGTAAATCTTCGCATTCAACTCAAGCCTCCACTTCTCTTTATTAAACAACTCACTAGCTACCTTAACATACCCATATTTACATAGAGTATCAAGAAGAAAACAAAACCGGAACTGTGAAAAACTTCCACTATTTTCTTCGTCTATAAAAATATGCATTTCATCGAAAGCCCGAATAGCCTGCCGTGTGAGACCAGCAGAAATCAACCTTCTAATCAGGATATAAAATGTGGTAAAATTAGGCCTAAGATTGTTGCTTTCCTGGTCCATCTGGACAATGAGTTGCCAAGCAACATCAAACTGGCGGACTTTGCAGAGACTATCCACAAGGAGGTTGAAAGCGGTGGTGTCATGGCAATAGGAAGGATGGTGGAACTGACAATATTGGAAAAAGGCAAGGGCAACTTTTGAAGAGTGATGAAGGCGAAGGAGAATTTGGTGGACTAAGGAGGTTGTGAGAGTGATTCCATTGAGCTGGAAAGAGGATTCTGTGGCGTGGAAAGGGTTGTGGTGTTGGAGAATGATTTGGGATATTAAATCAGCATTTTTTGATGGTTCAATTGTTGGAAGTATGGGTTTGGGCTCAGTCTCCAAGTGCCATATTTGCGGTGGTGGTGGTAGCCGCTGTTCAGAGTCAGAAAATGAAGAAAAAGAATAAGTAGGCAAGAGTTTGGGGAGAAAAATGTTCATCTGCATTGAAAAGGATCGGCCCAAATTCAAAAGTAGTGCCATTGAAATATACTCTTGCCTCTTCTTCTCATGAGGTGAATAAAACAACTATGATAGTAGTACTACTAGTGATAACTTCATCCATCACCCATCAGCATCACCCAATTAGCATCACATCTAATCATTCAGGGCAGACAGTCAAACCCAGACAAATTGAGGACAAAGGCTTGAAGAGATCATCTTGAAACTCCCTGATCACGATCACCTGAACATACAGTAAGATGAAGAAAAATAAGTGAATCAAATCAAGATGAAAACAACCAGATGTTTCCAAATAAGTGGTCAGTTGTTGGTGAGCAATGCTTCCAAATGGATTTGGAGTAGGAACCATTGTCAACCAGAGCCATTTGCATCTATTTGGTTCGCAATGGGTTATACAACATGAGACGAGTTTTAGATACCAATAGACAAATACAAATTTGATAAGTACAACATTTAGTATATACCACATGAAGTACATACATTCATAAAACTCGACTTTACATATTTAAGATTCCAATTGTCAACCAGTTTTGGTCAAAAACCTGCAGCAATGCCGGTGGCCAATATTGGGACAGCTTGAATTTTCAAGTTACAAGATCATTCATAAAAACCCGTCTTCTGAGTCTCAAAGAGCACATACAACCACAAAAACAGTAAGAGAGAGAGAGAGAGAGAGAACACATGAATTTTTAAGGTACTGAAAACTTGCAGGAACAAGAAATGGATAACCTTCTACAATTCATAATCTTCAGCTTAGACGTATATGAAGAACTAAGATGTAAAAAGTCAAAAAAAAAAAAGAAAATATCACCAATGAAAATAATGAGGGGAATTAACTGAACCAACAAAGGACGAGCAAACTGAAGAGGCACAGTGCATTGCAGTTTTGGGTAGACAATACAGATTCTCATTTTGCAAACATATCAAGAACTTACCTCTGAGATTACCAATAAAGCACTCATAGAAAACTCGAACTTACCTCTGAGATTACCAATAAAGCACTCATAGAAAACTCGAACTTACCTCTGAGATTACCAATAAAGCACTCATAGAAAACTCTCTTATAGCCCAAAAGTTTTAAGACTTTAGTCCATCAATCAGCTTAAGAAAACCCCTGCATACAGAAAACACTACTCTTATCAAGATGCTCCAAAACGTCTGCTAACACATTCATAGGCCATAATTCCTAAAATGGAAAATGGAGTTACAGTAATACCGTATATTTCATGCTTTACAATATATGTGAAACAAGATATAGATTTTTAATCTGAATAAAGCCTTAACTGATACCTCCATTTCATTCAGGCATTTTCACAAACAGATTACAAGCACACACAAAAAGTTTCATCCTCTATCAACTACGAAATTGAAGTTGACCACAAAATTTCCAACGCAACCAAAATTTCAGTCATCTAAGAACGTAAATGCAAGCAAATTAGCAGGAGAGGGGAAAAAAAGAGAGAGCATGGATTTCATTTAGTACCATTTGAAGTTTGAAAGGAGGGGAAAAATGAATTTAGAGATTTCGAGTGATTGAGAGTGGCAATTTGCAAAAGTTATTTGGCTTTGCAGAAATTCGAACAAGTGAAAATAGCAAAAATAGACCCTTTATGTCTTCTTGTTATCCTTTGTCAGTCCTCCACATTTCAAATAATGTATTTTGGGCTGTCACATATTTAAAATGAATCATTTTGACCCAACTGTCATTTCCGTCCTGTTTTACGGGGTTTATTTAGTTAGAAGATTATTTGAAAAAAAAATTTAAAATAATGCTATAGTACATTTTTATGCTTCAATGTATGTGAAGTAAAGCTGTTGTTGAAAATATAAAAATGTGATTGAAAGCGTATATATTTATGATGCAGCGACAAAATTTTTGATTAAAATTTAGCAAAATAAATAAATCTATTTGAGTGACAAAAAAATGTAAAATACTCGTTTAGCCCAAAAAATTTTTAAATATTTGTTTATTATATGCTAAAAGTATAAAAGAGTTCTAACCATCTTGGTATCCGATAAGATAGACTAAAAATGACTAAATTAGAAAAAGGAGAGAATAGAAATCGATTTATAAGTTTATACTCACTCGTAAAGTATCTTTTCTTCCTAAAATACTATGTTTTGACTGTATTGCATTATATAACTCCCAAATCTTCTACCTTTGGTTCAAATTTAATTAAAATGGAGGAAATCCAAAGATGTCATTTCATAATCCCTAAATCTTCTACCTTTGGTTCAAATTGAAAAATGGAGGAAATCCAAAGATATTTACAGTTTAATAGATTTCAACAACTCAACTTTCTATATCTGCTTATTTTTTTAGAAAAAAAAAATTATCCTTTTTAATTAGAAAATATTTGCTTTATAGAAAAAATTATCCTTTTTTAGTTTAAATATAACTATGGTGTTAATTATAAATCTAAAACAATAATTTAAGTATAAGAGTATCCAATCATCCATACTGAAAATTTAATGTATAAGAGTATACATTAACTCTACATTGCCCCCTTCCCCCCACCCCAACTACAGTCCACAGATCCTAGCTCCACTACTGGTTATGATTCATTCCATCAAGTTGGTTACCATCTGTATTTCTTCTCTAGAGCTTCGGACTCTCCCGGGGCTCAACCATGTTGGCCATGCTTACCCCAATTTGCTAGATTTTCACCCACTAGATCCATAGTTCTTGTTCTCGTAAGTTTCTCTTGGCAACCATTTTGGTACCATGTGGAGAAGGGTAGTGCCTGCCTTGTTGGGATCGAGGGGGCATGTTGAGCTAGTATTTCATGTATGAGTGGCCTTAGGCCCTTGGGCTTTATGATTTTGTGCGATTGACTGTTCTGTTTTGCTGGAAATAGAAATGGAATTTTATTTTTTTTTTTTTTTTGCTTGTGGTTGGCTAGCTGAAAGTAGCATTTTGGGACCTTTTTGTTGGATTGTAAGGTATATGTTGTTGGTGGGTTGAGTAGTGTTTTTTCTTTTTATTGGTGGTTCGGTTAGTTATTCAGTAATAATCAAGTTAGACTCCTTAAGAGGATTTTCTCTCCATTATACCTTAATAAACATAATTATAATATTATTTTTAAAAATCAAAACCATCCATATTATATTTCTCTAGTTGTTTAAAGTATATACAAAAATTAAAATTAAATAAATTTATTAAATTTTAAAATTTAAACTTTACAACTTCCATCATAATTTTGACCTACCTTGTACGATCAAAATATTTTGTGCAAATTAAATGGCAAAATATTTATAAAATGAGCTTGATTTTTTGTGTATGTTGATCTACTTGTGGAAATAAAATTATTGACACAAACAAATCATTGTGAAAAAATTTAATTGCACAAATATAAAAAAAATAAATAGATAAATAGAGAGGAGTAATGAAAAGGATCTCATCCCAATATTATCTAATGCAATCGTTATGTTATCTTGTAATTGTCTGCTTGCCTAGCAGTTGTTCACTTTGGTAGCCTTTTGAAAGTTAATGCAAGTAATGCTTCCAAAATGGCTATGGATTACGTGGTGAAATGTCAATGATGTTTTCTGAATCCTATCACTTCGGTAGCCTTTTGAAAGTTTATGTAAGTGTGCTACCAAAATGGCCACGGATTATGGGATTGAATGTAAATTATGTCTTTCGGATCCTGTGTTTTTGACAAATTAGTCTTGTAAAAAAAAAAATTCTCTAATTACACCGAATGGCACTATCTCTTTTTCTCACTCCCGCCAACCTCGGAGTACTAAACCAACTAGCATTCTGATCCGTGCTATGCACAAGTTTATATTTCAATTTAAAGCAATACTAATGTATATACTTATATTATAATATAGGGGGTTTATATTTCAATTGAAAATAATATGTATATATTCTTATATTTTAGAATATAGGATAAAGTGTATGAAAAGCCAAAAAAATCAAAGGAGTATATGCTTAGCATGTTAAAAAAAAAGTTTATTTTGGAAGCACAAAATGGACTTTCTTAATTTTAATATAAAAATTTATAATTTTCTGTTATATGCTTATGAGAATTACATACATACATGTGTATATAATGTGCCATGTGTGTGTTGGAAATTTCTTTTTTAAATAGCAGTAATTGTAATCGATATTTCCCATCTTTATTGGTCTGAGGTCCTAATTTCTCTATTATTTATTCAAAACACAACTTAACATATTGTAAATGTTACACTATTATAAAGAGAATTTGGCTAGTAAAATATAAAAATGAAAATTCAATACAAAAGTATAAAAACACCAAATTTAGTTGTTTTTCATATTAAATTTGAATTAAATGATTTCAAATTTTCGAAGGAAAAATATTGTAGTTGAATCTCTAGCTCGATTCAAATTGAAGAGTTAAAATTTGAAGCACAAAGAATTCCATAACTTGCAATTTGGTTTAACATTTTTACAATATATTTAACTTTACCTCCCATAATATGAAAATCATATAAAAATAAAAAATTGATCACAATGGTTGCAACTATTGGCATTTAAAAATGCAAATGAAAACTGATAATATCTTACAATACCCTCAACTACTAAAAAAAATAAATAAAAATAATATAGCAAGTACATAGTTACATGTGAAGAAAACAATAAGAATACATAAAATAATCAATAATACCCAAGACTATTCTTAGCATTTGGGTTTTGCACTCTTATTCAAATTTAATTAGGGTTAAATTTGGATCAAATATATACAAATTAAATAGATATATAGTTTAGGGTCAAAAGTTCTATATCTTTTCTTTAAACTTGCATTGCTATTTTTTTTTATATATTTTTGGTAGATTTTGTAACGACTCGAGTCCAAGGGTTGGTCCAAGTAATTTTTGGATCAAATCCACTGGTCCAAAATATTAACCCAAATTACTCAATAGCCCAAACACCTACACTCTTAAAACCATTCATTTTCCCTGGTGTGGGATACTACATTCTCTCTACCTTTAGGACTTTGCATCCCGTCAGAATTCAAACTGTCCACTTGGTTATGTTTTGATTCTAGAGGTGACTCGTATGGGCTCTAGAGGTGGCTCTCGCCCAACATAAACTGCCGGTCCAAGCTCACCCCGCGCAAAGATTATGCAAGATTCACTCTAATACCAACTGTGACGATCTAAGTCTAAGAGCTAACCCAAGTAATTTTTGGACCAAAATCCACTGGCCCAAAATGGTTAATCCAAATTACTCAACAGCCCAAGCACCCAAACTTTTAAACCATTCCTTTCCTCTTCCTTCATGGATGCGGGGTACTAGTACTACAGATTTGATTTTGCTTTACTATTATTTTTTATCAAAAATAGAGATTTCAAATAAAAGTTTTCATGTTGAAAGGCTAGTAGTGATTTATTTTTTATTTAATGATTTCATAATTTAGGGTTCATGAATGATACTGCTCCTGATTTTTTTAAATCGATGACAAATGAATATTATTTTCTTTTTATTTTCTATATAATTTGCTCATGATTATTAATAGTTTATTAAGTTAAAGGATAAAATATTGTTATTTACTTTTTTTTTTTACTTTTAATAAGTTTGCTCATAATTCTTTTTTATTTACTGTCATATTAAGTGAAACTACTTCTTACTTTTCAAATTCAAAAAATACGAAAGAATATATAACAATTAAAAGATTCAAAATTCTATAAAAAAGAAAAAGAAAAAAAGAAAGAGAAGTTAGAAACATTCTGATTTAACTAGTCTAAAAACCCTTCTTGCAATACATATGCATATAGATTGTTAATGTGCGTGTGTTTTTTTTCTTTCTTTTTGTGGTAATAAAATATGCATAAAATTAAGTTACCGACAAGTTAGAAGTACTCCAAAATTCCAAGAACTCCAATCCCCCAAACGACAATTACACCATTAGACGACAATTTACAGTACGCGAGGAATTGTACTTCAAGAGATATTGTGTCTATTTTGTGAATACAACGAGCGAATTGAAACCAATCTCTAATTACTAAGCTGTTCTTGAGCATTCAGAAGTTACTAAGCTCATATAAAACTGCCTAGAATGTAACATATGGGGATATTGGTTGACTAGTTTTAGTAAAAGATCCTTACCATTTTCGCAAATAACAGGTGAATTCCCAAAAACAACAGAAGCTAATGACTAGAACAAAGAGTATTTGAGCTTTACTATGAGCAAATAATTACAGTTATGGTTTTGTCCAAAAACAGCTCATTGAGAGAAGCCTGCTAATTACCATGACCAAATAGTAACAACATACATGAAGTGATAGAAAACCGGTAGCTAGAGCTACTACATCTTCATATTCAGCATCCTCTCGAATTCCCGAGATAAATCCTCCAGGTGAACGAAATTTTCACCTGTGGCTCCCTTTTCCTTCCGAATCTCATCACGCTCTAAATTCAAAAGAGCAATTTGTTTCCGTATTTTCTCTCCATTATCTGGTAATTTGGACATTGTAGCCTACAACATCATCCAAGAAGAATATTAACGAGACAGTGCAGACAGTGGCTAACAAAGTATGTCTAAAGAACAAATATAAAAAAATCCATACATAAACTTACTTAACTACTCAGTTTTCAAACATGCTAGCAGCAAGACAAAAC